ACCCATCAGGAATTGTAACAGCACACCATATCGGCGTGAAAAGCCGGAAGTTAGATAACCACATTTTTGCACGTACATGTATATGTATTACCATAAAATCTAAAAAGCGTGGCTGCACCCTGATAACGCTTTTATACAAAAATAGACGGGCTGCTCGCCAGAGGCACTACATTGCTGGTGAATTTTTTTGCCATTCTACTAAACTCACGTTATGAGAAACATTTATATTCCCTGTATATATTATTATACCTATTTGTGTATCATCAAATGTTCACCATACAATGTACTTACTTCTTCAAGTTTACATAATCTTTAGAATCCGTGCCAAAAGGAGCATTTGATTAGATTTAAACGATGAAGAGCATCGTTGTCATGAATTTTTTTTTTTATCTACATTGAAGACTAAATTTTTAGTATATAAAAGGTTCTTTAACTGAATTAGTGAAATTAATTTTTTTTTAACGAATCCTGAGAAACTTTTTATTCATGGAAAGATTTTTTTATCATTACAAGGAACCCCTTGTCAAATATATTGATACAGGTCAAAGATTTGTCCCATCAGATCCCTTGGCGCTTGTGTAAAGTCGAAGCTAAGCCCCGATCTCTTAGTCTGACGAAGACAGAGTAACGTTTAGTTTGAGTGACGAAGTTCTCGGATAAATTATTTCGCTCGTCCTCAAGCTTTCACTGTCCACACTCAAAATTCGCTACTCTAAATTATTTAAAATAGCAAAAGAAAAAAAACAAATAATAAAAATTCATTTCAAATAAAATACGTTAAAAATAATTTTACAAATAAATTAAGATTACCTTTGGGTTATCGGCGAGCACAAGTAATCAATTCACCGTATGATATTAAAAAAATAAGGACAATTTACGCGCGCAAAACTTCTTAGTTACAATAGAAAACTTAATATGAATTGGAAGCAATAAAATAAATTTAATTTAAACATTTTTTTAGATGGCTGATGCTATTTCAATTCATGCAGGGCGAATAGATTAAAAATTCTAAATCAAGTTAAAGTTAATTTTTCTTGTTCTTTACGACAAATAAAGAGACACGTATTTTTTTTATTTAGCGAAAAAAAAATTTTTAGCTGAATTATGAGTGTTTGAAAATTTTAGGACATATCGTGATTTTAGAGCCAAACAGCTGACAAATTAATTATTTTCAAATCTTTCTAGTTTTTGCAAAAATAAATATTTTTCAAAATTTTTTTTCTTGATTTTAGTAGTGTTTTTGATACTTTTTCTTTGCAAACTTGAAAAGTTGAAAAATTTTGAAAATTAACAAAATGGCGGCCATTTTTTGATAAATCAAAATAATCAGATTTGTTATTTTCTGAAAAAAATTATTGCGACTTCCAAACAGTTTTAGCAGACATGAAACCTTTTGGAAAAAGTTCTTTTTTTCATCTAGTAGTCACACAAAAATTTTAAGAAAAATAAAAAATGATGTTTTTTGAGAAAATTGACTTTTTTGATTTTTCGGAAAATGGCCGCCATTTTGTTAATTTTCAAAATTTTTAAAATTTTCAAGTTTGCAAAGAAAAAGTATCAAAAACACTACTAAAATCAAAAAAAAAAATTGAAAAATATTTATTTTTGCAAAAGTTAGAAAGATTTGAAAATAATTTGTTGAGATAGAATCAGCCAGATACTTTTTTTAAAAAATTTTATCGAATAAAATGAATAAAATCTAGCAAAAGAATGGAAAGATTATATCAATATAAAAAAAATTGCGCAATTCAGAGAATTTATCACGAGACCAAAATGTATTTAGCTTGAGTTTTCACGGGTTTTTTTTCAAATTGAGAGACGCATATCACAGTGAAAGATTTGGATTATTGGGTATTGAATTTCATCGGAGATTTACGAAACGCGTCGTCTACGATTGAAAAGAATAAAAAAATCAATGCCCCAATGCGCAATTCACCATTTAAATCTATGGATTTCAGAAAATTCATGATTGAATATTTTCTCGATTTAAAATATTGGGAAAGCCTAAACAGTCTGTTTTTTTTTCTTCTAGAATATTGATTTTTCACATATTTAAAATGCATTTAAATTGAAAAAAACAATGTCACTTTTTGATATTGGAATTCACAAGCAAAAACTTCCAAAAATGTATAAATAATGCGTCATATTTTTTGTGCGCTTGAAAAATTTATGGATACACATCTCTAAAGTCGTAACTCGTAACGGTTTTTAATAAAAATTGACTTGACATCTAATCTAATAACAAAATCGAGGAGTGTAATTTAGTTTTTTCGATTTTCGTGATTTGTAATCTCTCTTTCAATTTATTTTTGCAATGCTTAATTAAATATACAATCAAGTGTGTAAAATTATTTGTTCTAATTTTGAATTTTAGTGGAAGAAAAAGTAATTTTCAATTTTCATGATGTAAAATATTAGAATTCGATACATTTAGAAATGAGAATACGTTTCTGGCGAATGTTATAAAAGTAAAGGGTACAATATAGTACACTTGATATTAACCGACAATAATGTGTTTGCTGTTCTCGTAACGATTACGATGGAATGCAATCTATTATTTTCCTTGGTCATAAAGAGACGGGGGCAATAAATTTTCTATTCTTATGGCTTTGTTACTAGTCTGCCGAAGCAAGTTTAATACACTTGTGCTCAGATAATAATCATGACAGAGCTACTTGTCTTTTAAGGATATGTCTTGGAAATATTTTATCTCGATAACTATAAAATAACAAATCTCTCGAATTTCTTGTTTATGCAATTAATTTTCATGCACTTTGATCGTTACGCTAAAATAATTTCATAATTAAAATCATATGCAATTATAATTTACATAATTTACAATTGTTTAAAAAAAGAAAATTTATATTCGATTTTTCAATTGTCAAATACCTTGTCTGAAAATTGGTTTCTAAAAATTGTTCATATCTAATGTATTAAATTTTTTACATTTCAATTCTCAATTGTCAAATACAAATTTAATCGAAGGATTTAAATCTGTTTATTTGTTGAAAGAAAATCGAAATTTATTTTTTAGAATCTCAATGAGAAATTAATTTTCTACCTTGTAATCCAACGAACCAGCAAAACTTCTATAAAGTCAATCAATATTAGAAGGGTTGGGGTGCTCTCTAAGAAAATTAATTTTCGATCTCATAATCCGCAAACTTTAAGTTGTAACAAAGCGAATCGTTAGTATTTTAAATATTCTTATGTCCCATATATCGATATGGTACACAGTGGGGATTTGGGGAAAAAACGGCTTTAGACAAAACAACTTTGTGGCTTCAATTTTTAACGAAATTTAATAAACTTTTTTTTCAACTAAAGCTTATTAAATTCATGAAACTATAACTTCCAGCGGACTCTTCTAAAAATATTTTGTAAATAAAATGAACACTTTATATAAAAAACTAACAAAGTTATCAATTTGTTAATTAAGATTATTTAAACAATAAGGATTTAAATTATTCTACTTTAAATAGAAATAAATGCTAACTTATTGTAATGCTATTTAATAATAGAAAAGCTTCAATTCGTCATAAAAAATCAAATATTTTTCATTCATTTATATTTGTTACTACAAAAGTTAATAAATAATAACAAATTATTATTAATTTCTAATATAATAAATAATATTCTAATATAATAATAATTTCTAATTCTAATAAGTTTTTTTATTTAATATACCATCTAAGAAATAAACATTACTCGAAAACAAGAAAATATAAAATATTTGAATGAAAATTTTTTTTCTTCTTTAAATTGTTTATAACAAATAAGAAAATTGTTTTAATTCATTTTCTATTGCTGCAAAATGAGGGGGGGGGAGTTTCTCAACTAATTACGTTCGTTTACTAATAAATATTGTGAATTTTACAAAAATTACCAAATCAATAGTTTATTAATTAACTATTATTAATTAATTATTATTATTAATTACTTATTAATTATTTATTAATTTATTATTAATTATGAAATAAATATTTATTATTATTGTTATTATTATTAATATTATTAACTATTATTAATTAACTGTTGTTAACAAAATATAAAAGATTTTAATGAAAAATTTTTTCTTGTGTAAATTGTTTATAATAAATAAGAAAAATTTTTTGATTCATTTTCTATTGCTACAAAATGTGGGTGGGGAAAGTTTCTTAACTATTTACGTTCGTTTACTAAAAAATATTGTGAATTTTACAAAAATTAGCAAATTAATAGTATATTAATTAACTATTATTAATTAATTATTAATTAATTATTAATTATTAAATAAATATTTATTATTATTATTATTATTATTATTATTAACTATTATTAATTAACTGTTGTTAACAAAATATAAAATATTTGAATGGAAAATTTGTTCTTCTCTAAATTGTTTATAACAAATAAGAAAATTTTTTTAATTCATTTTCTTTTGCTGAAAAATGTGGGGGGGGGAGTTTCTCAACTAATTAAGTTCGTTTACTACTTAATAAATATTGTGAATTTTACAAAAATTATCAAATCAATAGTTTATTAATTAACTATTATTAATTAATTATTAATTATTTATTTATCAATTTATTATTAATTATTAAATAAATATTTATTATTATTATTAGGAACTATTATTAACTATTATCAAAAATGATCCATTGTAAAAAAAAATTTTTAGTAATAAATACAAAAGTTCATATATTATTTATTAAAAATTGTCTTGGAAAAATTAAAGCGCAATTTAATAAGCTTTAATTTAAAAAAAAGTTATTAAATTTCTTTAAAAATTGAAGCCCCATAGTAGTCCAATGTTTGAAATATTCAATCGATTTTGATTCTTATGAAAATTAATATTTATTATATGATGTTTTTGTTTTTTATTTGAAATATAATCCACTTATAAAATATAGTTTTATAAAATTATTAATTATAAATATTATTATTATTAATTATAGTTTTTAAAATATAGTTATGTAACCAAAATAAAAAATTTTAAACAAAAATTGTTAAGACCTTACCTTTTTTTGATGCGTGAAAGGAGTCATCTTTGGGAACGTACTGAATGTCGTAGACTAAAGTTGTTTTTGGTAATATGATTTTTTCTTTGTTGATTTTGTAAACAGCGTATTTGAATGCCAGCTCGGTGCTGCTGTTTCTTTGGTCATGAGTGAATAGTGCTCCTGAAAAAATAAAAAAAATTATTTCTCACTTAAAATTACGAAGTGAAACCATTTTTTTATTAGTTTTTTTATTATTTTAATTTAGTGGGTACTTTCAGTTTTATTGTGCGTGGAGAATTGGAGCAAGTATTTTTGGGGTGCCTCTTTGAAGCTTGATTCAGAATTCATAGATGTCTCATACAGAAAACATATTTCCATTTCCAAAGTAATTCGCTCAAAATGCCGGAAGCTATTTGTCGAGGAGGATAGACCGGTACGTTGCAGTAAAAGCGTTTTAAACAGGTACGCTCTTAACCTACACCCAGCGGGGATTTTAAGCGCTGATATATGTAATCGCGATATTTTTTAAAGGTCACGTAAAAGATCAAGACTAATGAAAAATTTCTCCACAAAGGGATTTGCAAAAGAGGAGCTAGATGAAGTGACGAAATAGAGCCGCATTTATTCAATGTGCCGACAAAAAGTGTTATCTTCATTTTCCTTATAGAATGCCACATAATATTCCATCATCTTTACATATAGTGGAGAACTTTTTTTTCTTTTAAAAGAAAATGTAAAATGTGATTTTTTTTTGATGGATAATTTTAAATGATGGAATTTTCAAGTACACACTTTTGGAATCAGATCGGAAAATCTATCGTTTTAGACTGAAAGAGACATTCCTTTATCTACTGCAGGAAAATAATCGTTGAGCTAAGCTAGGTCTGGCACGTTTCGCTGATCCGCCTTTTTCCCTTATTTTTTTTTCTTTTACTTTCCAAGCCTTCGGTGTTCTTTTGGTTTTTTTTTTTATTTTTCGTTTTGTGACGCGAGTAACTAATCCATTTACCCGTAAAGAAATGGATACACGTTAGCGCTTTTGTCCCATCCTTTCCTGTACTTTACACTCGTTTTTCTCACACTACAGTTTTCGACCAGAGTCCCGTCGTCATTCTGTTTTCGTTAAGTATATAAAATACTTTTTTTTTTAAAGTAGTACACGATTTGTAACTTCTTTAATTTAAAAAAAGAAAAATTCTTGTTCGTATCGATGGAATTGTGTTTAAATAAATGAAGAGGGAGGGTTTGTGTTTTACATAATCGGCTTGTATGAAAAGCTGGGCTTGGCATTCTTCTCCCAGTGTTCTATCTTATCAGACGAAACATATACTTAAGGTCCATTTAATGGCCTCAATAAAACGAAGTATATTCTTTCAACCGTCAAATTTATTGCACACAATCCTATTTTCATTGGGTCTACTTCTCCTACTGTTATAAAGTATGTAATAGGGCAAGTAAACCACGTGCAATTCCAAATAGGTCAACCACAAGTTTCAAATTGTGCTGTAAGTTTTACCAAAGGAATATTCGATTATGTTGATAAAAAAACATTTAATGCAGCACTGCTATTTGTATTGGAACTTTATTAGTTATTATTCATTAGTTTTATATTAAATTATTAAATTAACTATAATAATTTGAATGTTCCTTCATTCATTCACTTTTTCTGTCCCTCACACTCTGAAGTTGTCTTTTGTTTATACTTTTGCTTTTCGTTATCTTTAGATAGTATAATATATTTACTAGCAAATGTTACGCGCGGATCGTGAAATTCAATTTATTAATTGTTATGCAAATTACAAAATTTTTTATTTTCAAATATAAATTTTTTAAATAATTTCATAATCAAAATTTTAAAAATTTATTTATTAAGTACAAAATTAATTGTTACTGTTCATATTTTCAAATTTTTTTTTCTAATTTCACGAAAGAATTTAATTATTTTCTAAAATTGTAATAAATCCTGCTAAATCAATTATTTTTTTAAATATTAAAATATTTACAAAAATTGAATGATTTTCAAAACAATTTTAATTGAATTCCTCGGATGAATAATGAATTCAAATATTTTTAAATATTTCCATAAATTTCAATTATTTCCCAAAAATTTTAATAAATTCTTCGAAACAATTCAACTATTTTTATAAATAGAAAAATTCTTTACATGAATGAAATTATTTTTAATCAAATTTAAATAAAATATTACATGAAAGACTTTAATTATTTTCAAAAATTTCCATAAAATGCAATTTCAACAAGAATTTAAAATTCTCTAAAAAATAATTCAATTATTCTGAAAATATTTTTAAAAAATTCTGTATAAAAATTAAATTACTTTTAATGCAATTTTTAAATATATTCGTCAATAAAATTGAAAGAATTAAATTACTTTCAAAAAATAATAAAATTCTTGTGATGAATTCAATTATTTTGAATATATATATACTTAATTTTAATAAAATTCTTTAATGAAATTCCATTGTTTTCGAAACAACTTTAATTGAATTTCTCCAAAAAATTTCTTTTTTTTCAAATATTTCTATCAAATTCTTCATAACAATTTAATTATTTCTTAAAATTTTAATGAATTTCTTCCAAACGTTTTTTAATTATTTTTATAAATATAGTAAAATCCTTCTTAACAATTTAATTATTTTTTTAAATAGTAAAATTTTTATAAAAATTCAATGATTTTCAAAACAATTTTAATTGAATTCCTCAGATGAATTCAAATATTTTAAAATATTTCCATAAATTTTAATTATGTCCTATTTTAATAAATTCTTCGAAACAATTCAACTGTTTTTATAAATGGTAAAATTCTTCGCAAGAGTTCAATTATTTTCAATTCACTTTTAATAAAATTCTTCTTCATAAAATTCAATGGCTTGCAAAATTTTTAATTAAAATTATTAATAAAAACTCTATTAGTTTAAAAAAAATCCAAATAAATTCTCAGAAATTCTTCAAAAGAATTTAATTAAGATTTTTTAAAATTTTAATAAAATTCTTTGAAGGAATTCTATTATCATCAAATTTTTTGATAAAATTCTTTGCAACAATTCGATGATTTTCAATACATTAATTTTAAAATTAAAAATATTTGAAAAGAAAAATTATAAAAAAGATAAGAAACAAAAAGCATACAACAACTAACTATAAACTACGAATAGATTAACGGAACATATACTTTATTATTAATAATCAATGTTATAATTATTTTTATTTTATAATTAATTCAAAATTGTAATGACAAATAGAAATCATTAGAATTTTTTTTACTTCTTTTCATTAAAAGACTAAAATTTCGTTAAATATTATGTTTTGTCAAATTGAAATTACACAGATTTTTGTTTTTTACTTCTAAACAAAATTAGAAAATTGTTAAACAACTGTGATTGAGAAATAGAAAATTGATTTTATTTTGCATTATTTTTGTTTATGAATCACTATTTATTTAACAAAATTATTATTTTGTTTTAGAAAAAGAAGAAAAATATTTGCACAATTTCTATTTTTAATCTTATTTTTGGAACAGGATTTTACACAGAAATTAAGATATTCAAAAATTTTAAATTGAAAACTTTTTGAAATGAAGCAAATTATAAAAAATTGTTATAAAACATAAATATATCGATTGCTCCGAGTCGAAGACTCGGAGTGATCGATTTCTTCATGTTTTCTAATAATTAAAGACGATCGTAAGATAAAATTATTATTTTATATCATAAGAATATTGTTACTGTAACTTTATCAAAATTATTTTCATCATCTTAATTCAATTATTATTGTCAAGAATTTTAAATTACTTTTTAAGGAAAATAATAATTAAATTCCTGTGAAATTTTTATTATTTATAAAAATAATTAAATGTTTGCATACAATTTTATTAAAAAATTTGTTTAAATAATTGAATTCTTTTTGGGAAATTTTATTAAAATAGTAGATATTGAAAATCATTGAAATTAGAATAAAAATTTTTTAAAGTAATTGAAATTAGGACAAGAGAATTTTTTTGACATTTATGAAAATAATTGAACTTTAGAGAAGAATTTTGTTATTTATAAAGAAAATTGGGATTTTTACGCGAATTTTTTTTTAAATTTTGAACATAGTTGAATTTTATTTTTTTTTTTTGAAAATAATTGATAGTAAACTAAAATTACAATAAACGTTCTATTTAAAAAATGAGTTGATTTTAAAATTTTCTGATGTTCTTAGTTCACAATTGTGATTTTTTAAACATCGTTTAATTTTATAATTATAATTTTCTTTTCTATATTTAATTTAACTAATATTTGCGAACTTAAAATGTTCAAGTTTTTTAGAGAAGCAGAAACTTTGAGACAGAAAAGCAAATTGTTGGAAATTTTTAAATACGAGAATTCTTGAAACGTTTTGTGCTTCGCCAAAAACAAAGGTTGAAGTTTATGTTAGCTTTTGAGTTACATTGCGGAAAGAATCGAGATTTTTAACGAGTTTTTCGGGATGAAACCTTTGATTTACTTTGTAGAAAAATGCCCGCTGTGCTCTACGCAAGGTAGATGTTGATTCAATAAAGTGCAAATGAAGCGGAAACTGGGGTGTTCTATTTCACATGAGCGCAGTTTAAAAAATCAAACTTAAATTCTTTTTTCTCTTTTTTAAAAAATTAAACTTGTAACATTTTCTCTAGTAAAACAAAAACTTTGCAATAGGATTCATTAAATATTGATCTGTTAGTAAGTTAGTTGATAAAATAGAAAGCAAAACATACATAAAATTATCCATTCTAAATTTTACAATACATTTAATTATCTTCACTAATGATAATTCGTGTTATTATCTAATTTTTTCATTTGACAAAGTTTCATTGAAACCGAATAACTAGGTGAAATTATTGATATTTTAGATCTGGGGGTTGATACTGTAACTTTCCCAATTTCCACTCCCACTTTCAACTCTCACTTCCACTGCCCACTCTCACTTCCACTTTCTACTCTCAGTTCTCACTCTCACTTTCCACTTTCCACTCTCACCTTACACTTTCTACTCTCACTTTTCTCTATCACTTCCCACTTTCCTCTCTGACTTCCCAATTACCACTTTGTGGAGTGTGAGACGCAAGTGGGAAGTGAGAGTGGGAAATTGGAACTGAAAGTAGAAAGTGAGATTGGGAAGTGAGAGTGAAAAGTGGAAAG